AAAAATTCAGTGAAACAGTTTTTAACAGTGTGGTCGTTTTTTTTTTTTTTTTTTTTTTTTTTCCCCCCCTTTCTTTTCGTTGCAGCGTCGAATGGCAAAACATGGAGCCCCCACAGGGTGGAACTCGCTCTGTGGACCCACTACGTGGCGTCTGAATTGAAGCCAGAACTGCTGGACGGTATTCCAGGCTCGACAGAGAACGGGAACTCTCATCCGCCCAGCAACGGCGAGGCGACAGAGCCGTCGGACGACAGCAATCAGGAAGCAGCATTGAACGGTAAGGAACCAGGCAGTATTGATCCGGCGGCCATCGATGAGAACAGCATGACCACGTCCTTCACCGAAGATTCGATGGATAAACCCGCTACGCCGATTACAGCGGCTGTCGCCAGCGAAGATACGAACGATTCGCTCGCCACGAACGACAATGACGACAGCAACAACACGCCCCGACCGACAGACAGCGAGGACACCGAAGACTCGCAGGACGTACAGGAGCCGCCTACCAAGAAGAGTAAGAAGTGACCCACCGCCAGCCAGGAAGCCACGAATACGAGCAACAACGTCAGCACCCTCGTGTCAGCCGCCAATCTAACGCTGATCGCAGCGAGGCGCTTCTAAAAAAAAAAAAAAAAAAAAAAATAATAATAATAATAATAAACCGCCAGGGTCTCCGATCAGGGTCGCGGATAGTAGACCAGTAGCCTCTACCATCGCACCATCACGATCGTTTTGATGATTCTCCCTTCGCTCCTGCTCTCTCTCTCTCTCCTCTCTCTTTCTCTCTCACTCGTCATCTTTTCTTTGTTCTCTCTTATTATCCTTACTTGGCGAGTTATTTATCATACATTCATTAAATTTCTAAGGTTTCTTTTCTGCTTCATGTTCTTCTTCTTCTTCTTCTTTTCTACATCTCCAGTGTATTTCGCCTTCTGCCTGCCCTCTTGCCTCGTCTCATCCTTGTCCCCTTATTATTTGTAGAAATGCATTTCGAAAACCTCGTTGTAAAATAGTGTTATACCGCCATATAAACGGAGAAAGTGGAAGCTGTTGTGCGTACAAGCAGCTTGCTGATTTTTAGACGTCCATCCGGGGCTCGATTGGAGGCAGAAAGAGGAGGTAAAAGCTCGGCCGACGATTTCGAAGATTTCCTCCTTCTTCTTTTTCTTGTTTCTTTCATTTCCTCTACATTATACTTGCATTCAGTTTCGTTCCTCTTACTTTATTTAGTTTTTTTTTATCATCCTCTTAATCCGGACTCTTTCGGACGAACGCGTATTATCATAATTACTTACAATAGTTGGCGTGATTTTTATTGTAACGAGATATAGCGATGATATCTTCTTTTGAGACTCGACGAAGGAGACCTCGGAGACGAGACGCAGAGCTTTCTCCAATTTTTTTTTTTTTTTTCTCTGCCGCGCGCCGTAGTTTTTAGAAACATTTCTCTCTTCTTTTTCTTCTCTTGTCTTTTCTTTCCCTTCCTTTTCCTTCTCCTCTGTCCATCGAGATCGACAACAAAGCGATGATCCCACGCGGTTACTGCCTTTTCGAATAAGAACGTCCTTTTCCTCTTCGCTGCTTGTCTCGCGCGATAGCGAAAAACGACGTAGCGTTTAATTCAAGAGAATCAAGAGACATCATTCCTTTTTTTTTTTTTTAATCATCATTTGTACCGGCATTCTCGAAGGCCACAGTGTTACAAACGACGAAACGATAGGGAACGACGTTGTTCCTATCCTTTTTCTTTGTTCTTTTTTTTTTTTTTTGTGTGTCGGAAGGAAAAAGAAAAATGAGAAAAAGTAAAGAAAAAGGGGGAGGGGGAGGGGGAAGGAGGGATGAAAAGAGTACTGTGAGTGAGGTGTGCGTAGCGAACAAGAAATATAAAATGAGAGAGAGAGCGGGAGAGACAGGATGAGAGAGAACGTATAAAACCCGGGCGTGTGAGAGAGATAATCGAGTAACTGATTCCGTGACCAGCAAAGAAAGAAACAAACAAAATAATAATAATAAAATAATTAATAATATAATAATAATGATGATGATGATGATGATGATGACGACGACGATGAAAAAAACGGCGGTACACAACTCCGAACACAATGATAATATTAATATTAATAATAATAATAATATAATTATAATACCGAATCATTACCATAATTTATATATCTAAACAAGAAAAAAAAAAAAAACTGCATGTCAGAGTGATGCATGGAGCAAACCAAATACCTTGTAAGTAAAGAAAAAAGAAAAACTTTAGAAACAAATAAAAAGTAACGCTTTTTTGAGTCCACCAAGAGAAGAAAAAAAAAAAAAAAA